GAAGTAGGAGAGCTCTAATCATAAAATCTGTAAGAAAACCCCTCGTGTCTGCCTTGAAATATATATATTTTTTTTCATTAAGACCAGAGACTGCTAGTCTAGAAAGCAGAGGCATCTGATGGTTCATTTTCCTGGAAACGACAATTTAAAAGCAAAAGATTCTTGCTCACACACAGCGTAACACCCACAAATGTAGATCATCTGGGTTGTAAATCTCTATCTCCACCCATTTTTTTCTTTTACTCCCCCCAGGAAGAAATCCTATTTGTTCAATTGGAGGGAAGGAAAAGGTTGAATCAGGATGATTTAGAATAGATTAGTCAGTTTATTTTATTTTATTTTTTTAAAAATCCCAGTAGATTTAAAAATAGCAGCTTCTCTGCCATGGAAAAGAAAGCAAGGTACTTTCATATTCAGAGAAGCAAGGAATTCTCTAGATGTACCAAGGGATGTGAAATTAGTTAGGACATTATTTTAACATTCCAATTGATCTGAAAAGGAGAGTTGGATATGGACATCCAGAGGGAAACTCCAAAGCAGAGCTGAATTGATTTAGAGAAATTTGGGCTATGAAAGGCAGTCGGTTGTATTTAATGGCTCCAACAGAACCCATCAATTTGATTCAGCTGCTCTAGTCGGTGCTCCAGATTGATCGAAATTATTCTCAATCCATTTGGAGGGTTGGACAGTTAGGTATTTTAATCTCTGCCTGGGAATTTTCTGACAGGCACATCGGTTCAGCTGTAAAAGTCAAGTAGAGATGCAGAGAGACGGTGGAGTCTTGAGGGAAGGGTCAAAAATGTCCAGTTGCATGTTAAAAAGGGGGCGGGGCTCTGATCACATGATCGTGGCCACCATCTTTACTTTTTCTGCCCCTCCCTTGCAGACACCTTTGGGATAATCCTGTAGGTGGCCATGGATTTTTAAGCCTTCTTTCAGTACAGGTTCCAAAATCTCAGCTGCCAAAGTGTTGGGATGTCAAGAGATGTTGGTCACTTAACAACTGCAGTGATTTGCTTAACAACCAAGAGCAAAAAGTTGTAAAATTGGATGAGACTCACTCAGCAACGCCCCTTGCTAAGCAATGGAAATTTTGATCTCACCTGGGCATCTAAGCCAAGGACTACCTCTAGACAAGGTAAGAGAGAACTATACAAAAAGGTTTGTTTTGACGGTAGCTTTCTGTCAAAAGACGAACAGCTTTTGCTGTTTAACATCCAGCCGTAGTTACCACAAGCTTGGATTGCTATTTTGGAATGAAAATGTTGGCTTTGTCTTGGAGGAATGGCTAAAAACAAGCCTTCATGTTGAATTTCTTCCCTGTAGAAAGGTCGTCATTTCAAATCTCCTTTTTCTCTTCAGAACTGGCACGCCACAAAGTGTGGGATCCTCTCCGATTCTGTGAATGAACTAATGGAATGACTAGACTTTTGGCCACGACAGAAATAATGGCCAATAAGCAGATCGCCTTCCAGCTGTTAATTAACAGAGTGGCGTGCAATTACTCCACAAAACCGAAAGGATGTCGAAGGAGCAAACTTTAATTAAAATGTACATCTGGTCAAATGAAATGGCAGTGAAACATTTTTTTTTCACTGTGCACCAAAGTCAGGCAGACAGGAAAAGGGTTTAAACCCCAACCTTTCCCATCCCCTAATATTGCCCAGATGTTTGCTGCAGCTGAAACATACATGAGAACAATACTGTCTCCAGAATGCATCTACAATAACGTAGCAGAACAGACAATTTGAGGATATCTGTATCTATCTCTAATCTATCTCTATCTAATCTATATACCTATCCATATCCATATTTCTCTCTATCTGCTTGCCTGTCTTCCTTCCTAGCTTCTTATCCTAATTTCCTTATTTTTTTTTTCTTGTTCAGTGAACAGCCGTGTTGCTAACTTAATAACTGCAGTGTTACACTTAACAACCGAGGCAAGAAAAGTCATAAAATGGGGCAAAAGTCACTTAACAAATGTCCCACTTAGCAACAGAAATCTTGGGGTCAATTGTGGTTGTAGGTCTGGGGGCTACCTTTCGTTTGCTGATTTATTAAATTTATTCACCGACCATCTCCACCAAAGTGGCTCAGGATGGCTTACAACACAATACAAGCAAGAATATGAAAACATTAAAAACATTAAAAATAGCAGGGCTTGGATAAAACTAGGAATTAGGTATACAAGTAGGATAGATTTTCTTTCTTAGACCACCAAGCACCTGTAAGCACAAGTTCTCTTCCCCCCGATCCACAGAAATTCTCTGGTCCAAACATTCTCTCCCAGCCCAGCCTACCTCAAAGGGCTGTTGCTACAAATGAAACAAGTTAGGTAAGAAGTGTTAAGCGCAGTGCTTTGAGCTCTTGAAGGACAGGCAGGGTAAGACATACATCTTAAAAATAAATGAATGATCAGACATCAATCATTTTCCATAACTGCTTAAATTAATGCGAAGACATAAACCAGTTATCTGTATATAAACCTGCATGCCAATGAGACTTTATAACCACGATAGGAACTGGATGCTCACCAGTCCTGAGTTAGTGAAAGAGAAAGTTACAGGGACCTGATTAACAGAAAAAGTGACAAAGGCTTAAAATAGGCAGGGTTTAAATGGAATAAGGAAGGAAATAAAAAAGACAAAAAAAAAGGAACAGTGAAAGGAAAAGGACTTGAACTCGCAATGTTCAGCCCCAAAACAAACAAACAGAAGACTCTAATTGTAAGTAATTAGAATCGTAAAGAAAAAGAAGAACAGATGTAACGTTGTTATGTTGGGGTCTATGTTACAAAGTGACATGAAAATATCCTACAACATACACAATGGCAAAGAACATGATACAATATGGTCACTGTTACAAAATGACTCTCTTTAGTTATCCAACAAACCATTAAAAATCATTAAGAAGAGGTCCAACCTAACAGAAATTTCCTGACAGTGAGAACAGTTACTGGTAAACAGTGGAAAAAAGTTGTAAGCGCTCCAAAGACAGCCATTTCTCTGGAATGGTATAGGTTCTTGAGTAGGAGGTTGGATTAGAAGACCTCCAGGATCCCTTCCAGATCTCTTCCTCTATGTTTTATATCCATTATCAGCAGTTTGGCTGAGTGGGTGCGTGAATCCAAACTGGGTTAGGATTGATGGCTTTGTCTGCAAGGCAGCATCTGGGCGACCTGTTTTTAATTTGAATTAAGTTAACTCAGTGATGGTATGGTCTTCGGTTGGCTGTTCACAATAATACATTAGGCTGAAAGATGGCTAGCTGATTAAAGGTTCAGCGTATTATGTGAACTCAAGCAATTGGATTACGTTAACAAGCCAGGATAGTTGTGGCTTAGCATGTAAATGCAAAGACAAATCATCCACATTTTGAAGCTGCTTACAAGCCCTGAATTTTGGATTATCTGCCTGTGGTTCCCCCTCGCTTGGTGCTCTTGAGTCGTGTGGGACGACAATGCCTATGCTGTCCTCAAAATTGCGTCATCCTGTGAATGTGGAGGGCAGCGATTGCAGAAAAGTAAAACTGTTCTTTTTGGAACAGGGAGAAATCCCATATTATTAACCTCGCTGTTCCGAGGCCTGATTAAAACACACATATTTATTATGCTTTTGTATTGCAAAAAACACAGAGTTCTCCAACATTTGCCCATAAGGCTGTCAGTTCTGATTTGCTGTCAGTAACATCCTGCACTTTTCGAAAGAAAGAAAGAGAAAAAGAAATAAAGAGAATGAAAAAGAGAAAGAAAGAAAGAAAGAAAGAAAGAAAGAAAGAAAGAAAGAAAGAAAGAAAGAAAGAAAGAAAGAAAGAATTTTGTCTGCAATTAAGTGCCTCTTCCTGAATTAGTCAAATCCACATACCTGGTTTCCATACCTTGGCAAAGTTAAGACCCGTGGACTCCAACTCCCAGAATTCCTCAGCCAGCCAACTGAAAAACAAATATTGACAATGCAAAGTATATTAGTCCTCCTATTATGGCCAGCTTCCCAGGGGGTTGCAGTTTATAGGAGCTGCTTAATCTGGTCAATTACAGATGTGGCACTAATGCACATCTTGAACAATTGTTCCTATTATAATAATGAATTCATTGGTAATCCAGTGAGTGTTAAGTATAGGTGATATGGTGGTTTCTTTCTCCACCCGCTTTTTAATTTGCACTTTCTCCAAATTTTCTTCTTTCTTAAGATTGATGATGGCTGTGTTAAAAAAAAAAGATTATACTTACAATTTTTTTTAATATACACCTCTAGCCTGCTTTAATTAGCCAACCTTAGTCAAAACGATATGGATGCATGTCAGCATTTTATGCAAAATTGTTGGGCGACTTTCAGCTTCAAGTGACTTGTGCCAGCTCGAAAGAGGGTGATCCAGTGCCAGATTTAGACTTGATGAAGCCCAACATTATATAAAGCTTGGATGCCCCTGGCTGAAATCAGGACCGTGGGTGGCCACATCAGAATTGCAAACACATATACACTTTTCCACTATTTCATAGCAAATGAAAAATGCAGATTATTTTCAGAGGAATGTATTTCACTGATTACGGATTTATCCTTTAGATGGCTATGAGTTCTCTCTATAATATACTGTGTCCTGGAAGCAATACTTCCATTGTAATTGTTAAAATAACGTTAAGATATATGTATCTATGTATGTGTGTGTGTATATGTGTATATATATATATATAAAATCTTAAAAACTTGAATCCCAGGTATATTCATTAAAATACATATACACACACATGTATATATACACATACATACACACACATATATACATACATATATACATACACACACACACACACACACATACACACATAAATACAAGATACTGCTCAAATAAGTCACCAGGATGGCTTTTATTATTCATCTAAGCAATAATGTCCTCCTTTGAAAACAAAAATAGAAGAGAACTGACCTTTCGACTTTTTCCTAATAATTTCACGAGGGTTTAAAAATAATGGCAGGAAAAAAACTAATATAAGCTAAACTAGTAGAAAAAAAAATTCAGAAGAGACAGGAAAAAAAAAGGTAAAAGAGAAAACTGAAAAAAAAAAAAATAAACCAACCAACCAACCACCCCAAAGTCAGTCATAAACAAATCAACATTAAGCTGAGGAGAAAGGCGGGCCAGCTTGGCAAAGCCCGCAAACCCCGCCGCTGTCAATCAGGAAAAAGGGGCGTGGCTCCGAAAGCCGCGCATTCCGTTAGTGCGAGGTAACTTGCCTCGTTTGCTCCGGCCGCCCCTGCTTCCACAGCGCCCCTTTCGGCAACTCGGCCCACAGCGCCTGCGCCAAGCGGCGTCGGCGCCTCTCCTCCACCTCCGCCCCCCTCCTTTGCGTCCAGCCGGGACGGCCGTGCCACGTGGTCCGCGGCGGGCCAATGGCGAAGCGCGCTGCTGCGGGCGGCCGCCATTGCTGTCAGAGCGCCGAGCCTGCCAGCCTTCTGTGTATGTCTATGAGGAGAGCGAGGCGGCGTTGAGGGGAGCCCACCAGGGAGAAGGAGCGGCGGCGGCGGCGGCGGCGGGAGGTCGCGCTCCATCCGTAGCCCGGCGGCGGGGAACAAAACGACGCCGCCGCCGCCTCCTCCTCCTCTTCCTCCTCCGCCAGAGAAGGAGGAGCGGCTGCCTGCCTCCGCCCGCCCTGAGGGGACCCACCCGGCGGCGGCGGCGGCAGCAGCAGCAGCGGCAGCAGCGGCGGCTGCCCTGAGGCGCGCGCACCCTCCGTTTGTCGTCGCCGCCCGCCTCGTTTCCCGCGCCCCCATCATCTCCTTGGCCCGACGCGGGCGGGCGGGAAGGCGGAAGCGGCAGCCCCGCCCGCGCCGAGTGGCCGCCGCCGCCGCTGCCGCCGCCCTTTCTCTCCGGCTCGGCTGCCGATCGGGCATCGGCGAGAGGAAGGAGAGGCGAGGAGGCCGGCAGGGCGGGCGCCGCCGCCGCCGCCGGGCCCGCCCCCCTGGGCGCCTGTGCGGCTCCTGCCGCTGCCCCGCTCCGGCCCGGCCAGACATGCCCCGCTCTGGAGGCCGGGCTAGCCGAGGAGGACCATGACTGCGGCGGCGGCCAACGGGGCGAGCCTGGAGGACTGTCACTCCAACCTCTTCTCCCTGGTGAGTCTGGACGGGGGGGGGGAGGAGAGGGGGGAGGGGCGGGGGGCAGCAACTTTCTCGGCCTTTCAAGGCCCGGGGGCTGGGCCACCTCCCCCCCCGGCCCCACCCCTCGCCCTTCCCGGGGGGCTGCGGGGTGGGCAGGGGTCGCGTGTGTGTGGGGGGGGGGATGGGGGATGGGAGAGACCGTTGTGGGGGGGCAGCCAGGGGGCGGGGTGGGCGCCCCCGCTCTTGCTGGGGCCAGGGCAGCCCCCTCCCCAGGTGGCCCGGGGCAACTTTCCCCGTCTCTTGCGCGAGGGGTAGGTGGGTGGGTGGGGGGCTGGGTTAGGGGTGTGTCTGCCTCCCTAGGGGGTGGCTGTGATGATGATGATGATGATGATGGGGGGAGGAAGAGGGGGTCTCTCGGGGGGGTCTCTGCGCCGGGAAGGCAGAGCGGGGTCTGGTGGGAGGGGAGGGAGGTGGGGCCTGGCAGGGGTTTGGGGGAAGGGGGAGTGAGGGGCAAGGGGTAATGGGGAGGAGGAGGGTCGACGGGCTTTTGGGCAGGGTCGGCCTCCCTGGTCTTGGGTGGGAATGGGGGGGGCGAGCTGCGGAGGGTCTCCGATCTTCTCTTCCTGGGAAGAGAAGATCGGAGAGGGGGAGAAGAAGAAGAACAAAGGGATGGGGGGGGGAGAGAGAAAGAGTGAGGGGATGCCCTGGTGGAAGCCCCCCCCTTCCCCACCTGAAAAGAACTTGCTGGTCTGCATACCTCCAGAGAGGTTTTCAGGCTGGGGATCCGTCCCTTAGCATGGCTTGATGGTTCTAGGGATCGCTGCTGGGGCTTTAAAGGCATGCCTTGCAAATGAAAGGACTGTCCCCCCCCCTTTTTTTTCTTTTTAAACGGAAAGGTGATCTTTACAACGTGTGTGTGTGTGTGTGTGTGTGTGTGTGTGTTAGTGACTGGGCTGTATTGTGCCTGTCAGCTGAGACTGGTGGATATATGTGTGTGTGTGTGTGTGTGTGTGTGTGTGTGTGTGTATGTATATGTATATATTATGTACTGTATATTGTGCATGTATATACATTACAGGGTATTATTTTTAATAGGAGCACGAGAAGGTCATGATGCTTAAAACGAGCTGGCTGGCTTGCTAATCTTTTTGCTGTGTCTGTAATGATTGATGGGCTGCAGTGGTTTGTGTGTAGATCATGCGCTCCGGTTGGGGGGGGGGGAGAAGCGTACTGAGCTACAAACAAAAGCAGGAAAAATGGAGTGAATTTGGCCAAGATCGATACTTAACTTTAGTGGGGGTTAGGCGGTGTGGATTTGGTAGAGGAAAAAAAAAAATCTGATGGGCGTAATGTGTTTGAAGAGATATAAATGGTCCTTGGCTCTAAAAATGGGGTGTGTTGAATGAAGTCCAACAGAGTTGAAGACACCTGGGTAAATTGGCTGCCTCAGAAATGCAATATAATTTATCTCTATCATCAGTGCCAATATGTCAGTGAAAAAGCGTAACGTCCAAAAAGCCTTTATGCTAGGTTAAACAGAAGCAGTTTTGTAATAGGTTTAGAATTACAGTTGGGTATATATCCCATAGGTTGACTTATTTGATGCTTAGAATGTTAATATTTTTTATGTAAGAATGCCCAGTTAACCATGAAAGTGTTTTGACTTCAAGCAGCTCGGTCTTGAGGCACCCTGATGTATAATTTGTATTTTAATTCTGATCTTGCAACATGACTGTACAAAGGACTAGCATTAGGATTGCTGTAATAGTCTCTGAATTAAGTTTAGCCTCTTGCTAGAGAAATGATCACACAGATCTAGACCACAAGTCAGTTGGAATTACTCAGAAGTAAATCCAGTGGGCTGTACTTTTAAGGAAGGATTTATAGAATTGCAGCTGATGGCTCTTTTTGTTTTGTTCCACCTCCTATTACATAAATCAATCTCCCTTTCTTAACCTTGGTGATTTTTTAAATTTATTGCACAGTTATTGAGCATATGGAAACAAAGAACAATCATGCTGCAGTTGCTACTTCCCAGTGCATTAGTTGTTTTTATACAACTAAGCATATGGTTTCTGCCACCATAGGGAAAACACACTAATGGACTCTTCACTGCAGCAGAAAACATCAAAATTTGTATATCCTTCTGATACTAATTGTATGACATCAGTGTGCCAGTGACTGCTTTCATACTGGGAATTAATTGTTTCTAATAATAATTCATTTCAAGATAACCCTAAACCATTGAGAAATATGCAACTGTCAATTAAAACAAAATATAGTGGAAATATCTGATCCACATTACTAACTCCCGCCCCCTCGAAATTATACCAATTTAATTTTAAGCTAAACTGTTAAAGTCTGGAGTATCTTTAACTTTTTTTTTTAACCAATGGAAAAGAATTTTTGTAGCCCAGGATTGAACTGGAGGGGGGGGGAGGGCTTAGTACTTTCTGAGCTTAATGGTCTTCTTGTAGATGTTTCATTACTAAACTAGATAACATGGACAGTGTATCAGACTTTGTAATAACTAACATCAACAGTGTATCAGACTTTGTAACAACGTTCTGTTGCTAAACAAAATGGGAAATACTGCAGGCATAGGGTAGGAAATGTACTTTTTGCTTGAAAAGTTTTTGCATAGATGAGATGGCAATTTCTTTTGTGTTTCCTCCACTCAAGCTCAGAGGAAAACAGTGATACTAAGAAGTAAACAAAATGCTGTGCTTCGTTATTTTGTCAACACAAATATTTTGAATGATTTTGTTTCTAAAAGAGTAACAGAATCTCCTATGCAATAATTGCCCCTTAATTATTATTGTTGTTGACATGTTTTGAATGTGATGTGTCCATAGTTTCCACAAAAGATACAGGGCTAAGGATAATGCTGGGATTCTCAACATTCCTGTGGAATCAGCATACATTCATTTTTATTTTTATATTTAGTTCAGGAGTTGTATTAATGATCAGTAGAGATTGATTGGAAGAAATGAACCCCCATTTTTCCGTTGCTTCAGCTGATTGCTCTTGCTGTTTTGTTTTTTTTTATTTCGAAAACAATAGCTTTTAGGCTAACGTTATGGTGTGATTATGTATCAACTAGAATGCAGATAGGTTTATGTTTTATTCTGGCTAATTGAATAATTGGGAACAAAACCAGCAACGTCTTGTGACAGCTCAATAGGCTAACACATTTACTCTGGCATACTTTGATGAAGTGTGCTGTAGTATGTTTATATTATGGCATAGTTGAGTGTGTAGTAACTGTTTGATCAAATAGAAATAAAACATAGAAGTTGTAGACTGTGTTAGTTACCATAGACAGATAGGTCACAGTCTTGCATTGCTAAGCTGAGGAATGTTATTGGAGCACATATTAATGCCTTTGTTATGTTCTGTATGGCATCATCTGCTTCTGTTTTCTTGACCAGGAACATCTGCAGTCCTAATTACTAGGCAACTTATAGTTCAATCAGAATAGAGCTGGAAGGGACCTTGGAGGTCTTCTAGTCCAACCCCCTGCTCAAGCAGGAGACCCTATACCATTTCAGAGAGGTGGCTGTCCAGTCTTTTCTTAAAAACCTCCAGTATTGAAGCACCCATAACTTCTGGTGCCAAGCTGTTCCACTGGTTAATTGTTCTCACCGTTAGGAAGTTTCTCCTTAATTTCAGGTTGCTTCTCTCCTTGATTAGTTTCCATTAATTGTTTCTTGTCTGGGCTTCTGGTGCTTTGGAAAATAAGTTGACCCCTCTTCTTTGTGGCAGCCCCTCAAACACTGGAATACTGCTATTTATTTATTTATTTACAAATATTTATATGCCGCCCAATCCCAAAGGACTCAGGGCGGCATACAAGGTTAAAAACAGTCGTAAAAGAATAAAATAATCCAGTCATACCGCGAGTCCGATCATATCCCGGCTATCCTGTCACCCCAGTTTTTCTTTTCTCTAGACTTGCCGTACCCAGTTTCTGCAACTCTTCTTCATATGTTTTAATCATCTTAGTTGCTCTTCTTTGCACTTTTCCCCGCAAAGTCTCAACATCTTTTTTTGTAATGTGGTGACCCAAACTGGATGCAGTATTCCAGATGTGGCCTTACTAAGAATTGAATAAAGTTGAATGATGGATGGTTTTTATTGTTCTGATTCCATGCATTCTTATAACCATGCTGGCTGGCTTGCTTTGGAAGGAAACTGTTCTTTTACCTTGAATTGCAGCATTATAACTATGACATGGTTTTAATCAGACATCAATCAGTGTTAAAGCTTTATTATTTACCTTACTTATGCTGTAACTATGGAACTCAGCCCTGCAGGTTTAATATTTACACACCAAGTGTGAAAGGCCTGTCTTTTATTCTGTAGGCTCAAGGTGTAACGGAATGGAAGATGTGTATTATATTTTTACACCCCTGTAAAATGTTTTGGTTTGGTGCTTTAGCTGCAGTAATGATCTGCTTTTTTTTTTTTTTTAATTAGTGCCTGACATTTGTGCTCTGGAGTTCTGTCTAAATGTCTGAGATGCTTTTATGTTTATATAAATTATACCCCTTCTTTGTTTCTTATTAAGGTATTGAATTAGTTTTCCCGTTTTTAATCTTTTAAGCAGTTTTGCCATCTGCCAGTGGACTTTGAGATGGATTAGAAATGATTGTTTCCGTAATGAAATAATTAGTACAATAAAAAGAAAACTGACATCTAGGCATTAACCTTGATGTTTAGGCTGATTCTTCTGTTATCTTGAGCTTAGGCCAGTGGTGGCAAACCTTTTAGAGACCGAGTGCCGAAACCCATTTATGCATTGCCGGGTGCCGAGGGCATGGACACCAAGTGGGCCTGGTGCATGTGCAGCTTTGTGGAGAGCTGCACATGCGCGGAGAGGAGGAGAGAGCAGCTTGGCCCAGCAAAGGCTCGTGTGCCACTAGAGACAGCTCTGCATGCCGCCTGTGGCACGCGTGCCATAGGTTCATCACCATGGGCTTAGACCAGTGTTTCTCAACCTTGACAATTTTAAG